GTCAAACTAACGGAGAGCTACAGAAAGGGAGCACAATATTTCTAAATAAAACATAGAGTGCAGCAGAAATTACATATTTTTGCCAACTCGGAAGTTAGCATCACCCTGGTTACCTCAATAAAACCCAATATAATTTTGCCATTGCCTTTTGGATTATTGCAGAAAATAAGGTCTGTGACCAACAAAAGTTTCTGATTCTTTCTGGTTTTGTTCATCATTATAATCTTCAAAAATGAACACAACTTTTATAAATGTTGAAGCCTAAATACAATTGCTACACTCTCAGAAAAAAAGGTACAAAAGCTGTTACTGGTGCTGGTATCCTAAGAACTATATGCACCATATGCAGCCCTATATATATATATATATATATATATATATATATACTAAAAGCCATATTTATTTGCTTTTATTTGCAGTTCTTGTTCACCTTGATTGTCAGTCTAATAAGTGTTTTTTGTCACATTACAGTTCACTTTTCTAGACATAAATATTTATTCAACTCATTTAGTTTGGTTGCTGAAGTAAGACTGGTTAACATGAGGAGTTTGCTGGGAATTAATTTTCATACATTCTCAGTGTTCCATAAGGAGCACAACTCAGCAGAGCTTGTTGGCCCTCAAGGCTAATGCAATCTGTCAGAACTGGCCCAGATGTTTAATGTCACATACACACATACATGTACAGGTTTGGAAACATGCACACATGTGCACAAAATTGAAGAATTTAACTCTCTCTCTCTCTGTCTCCTCTGTTTATATCCCATTTATATTTCTCTTTCTTTTCGCTCTCTCTCTCGTATTGATTATTCAGCCAGAACCTGAGGGGCGCAGCACCTCAGAGGTCGGTAGGGTTAAGTAAACCAGTCCAGTGTTTTCTGTACAGCAGCACAGTATAGCGTAACTTGGCCCTTCCTGCCAGCACTGAGACATTCCTGTAATTGACTCTAAAATGAGACACGCCTAACACAAGGGGCAATAGAAAGGAAAATGATGTGCAAACTGACTGACGCACACACATATACAGTAGCACAACAAGCACTTATATTTGCCGCCCTGTTAGCTAAATAAAACAAATGCATTAGGAAGAGGATGCTGGTTGTGAAATTATATATCAATTGTATTACTACATACTGAATAATGCAAACAGTCTGACGGTGTGGTGGTTGCAAACTGGGGACTGCGGTGGAATGGATTATTTTGTTATTTTTCTCCAAAGGAAAAATAAAATGACAGTCCTGAGTTTGTTATTGATTACTGTCAAACTCTGTCAAGATTGTAAAGCTTTAATCTTTACATTGTAAATCAATTACTGTAAATCTTGTTTCAGCCTCAAATGTTAATGACAGAAGATGCGGAAGCAACATATATGGGTAGTTGATGCATAAAATGTGCCTTTAACCTAAAATAAGGATGTGTAAGTGCAAATTTTCACCACATTTCTATTTTGTTTTTCACAGTCTAAATCACATTTTTGCCGTAATTAATTTAAAGGGTCCTGTCATGTGATCAATAAATTATAGATATATATGTATATAAATAAATATTTATTTATACATATTGTTGACTCTTTGACACTGCTTTTGTTGTGTATGCCGCTTCTGATAAAAGTGTCTGCTAATTGCATATATGTAAATATTGCACTTAGTCTCTCAATTAATATATCATAGCACCTGAATACATAATAATTGTAAAAGAATCAGCAAAATATTTTTATTTTATTATTTTAAATGTCAATGTTCTAAAATTATTTTATGCCAACCACCCATATCTCACAATAAGAAACACTTTCACAGACTTAGGCCCAATCCCAATTCTACCCCTTAGCCCTTCCTCTTTCCCCTACCCCTCCGTTTCGCGCGTTCACGTGAAGGGGGTGTCTCGATTCTCTTTTGGTTGGAGGGGTAGTGGTAAGGGGAAGGGCCAGACAGCCCTTCAAACGAAGATTTTTCGGGACCACACTTCAAACGAAGGGGTATGAATTATCTCAGCGTAAACCGGCTTCAGCGGCAACATGGCTGCCCGAGCGAACAAAAAGACACATAAATGTAAGCATTTTTGGCATTAATAAAGATTTTAACGAAAAGTAATCATTTGTTTTATGTTACATTCAATCATGAGTTCATATTTACGGTCATGTTACTCAAAGAAATGTTTGCAAAAAATCGCTAAAGTTTGCTAACGTCATATCATTACAGACTGCACGATAGTGCCACAACATATTTTCATGTCTGATCAGGGCGATAATAACCACCATAGACATTGAGGAGGGCTAGTACCCCCAATAATTATAAATCGCTAAACCCTTTTCTGAAATATTGCCAATTCGAGAGAGAGCGAGAGAGAGAGAGAGAGATGAAAGTTGCATGTGTGTGCGTCTGTGCGTTTCTCTGTTTAGAGTGAGTTTACTTCAAAAACAGCGATTTTATCCTCTCATCGCTGGAAAATATAACGTAGCGATTCAGTATTTAAACTGGTATTAATAAAAGTCGTGGGGCAGCATTGACAAGTTTCTTTGCTCCTGGATGTGTGAGCTGTGCGATATCTGATGTGTGTGTGTGTGTGTCAGTAAGCAGCGCATTAATATAGAACCGTAATTAAAGGCTCTAATGCGCACACCATAGGTGTGTGTATTGTAGGAGCTAGATGACGTATGATGACGTGTGACGTATAGTAGTGGTGTCCCAATTCTTAGGGGAATATTTTCACCCCTACCCCTTGACAAATATATATATGTGTGTGTGTGTGTGTGTGTGTCAGTAAGTAGCGCATTAATATAGAACGGTAATTAAAAGCTCAGTATAGGTGTAGGTAATTAAAAACAGTATAGGTGTGTGTATTGTAGGAGCTAGATGACGAGTGAAGGCATAGTAGTGGTGTCCCAATTCTTAGGGGAATATTTTCACCCCTACCCCTTGACACTCTGTTTCAAGGGACAAGGGGAAGGGGAAGGGGTATAAAATAGAATTAGGATTGGGTCTTAATCTTGTACTTGTGAATTGTAATGTACAAAGGCGGCATAAATGTATTTACAGATGAATCACTATTGTGATGTGTAATAAACTCTGAAAGTATATCAAGTCCTGTCCTTTTAATATACATGTATGTCTTTTAATAAAATATATATTTGAAAAATGAGCAGAAAAAACACGAAATGAGCAGACAACCAACACTAAAGAAAAAAAAAAAAAAAAAAAAAAAA